GTTGAGAAAACCACTGTTTCAGGAGATTTCCTCGTTATTGTTATGGGGTTTAAGTGAGCAAGTCTCAATTGTTTATAGACCATTTCAGGCTGACGAAAACGACCACGACGAAACCTAAGCTTAATAAAGTTCAGAAAACTTCCTTCGGAGCCGACTGTTACTGCAACTCTGAAAGTTTCCTAAATATCAAACTGCAATGTGTTGGTAGCAGAGAGCGTTGGTTCTGGTGATGTCTTGAACTTTACAAGAATCGTCTTACGCACCTGCAGCTGTTGTACGGGATCCACGAATAGCCACTATAGGAGTGCTTTATCAGTGTTATACAATTTTTCCCCACTTTGAAAGCGCATGAAACAGCACCTCGAACAGTGTTCACGTTTTCTTTTAGCCTTTGACGAAATCACGTGTTTTTGCATTCTGACAGCGTACGAAAGGAGCGATTTCGCCATTTTGTGACTGCTCACCTCACAAGTCTGGATTCTGAGTGATAACTATTGAAAACGTGCATGGCAAAAGCCGTTCAGCAATGTTCAACGCGTAGAAGTTAGTTGGTGTATAGGAGTAGAGCTCCTATCAGAAGAAAGTGCAATGAGAAAGTAAAAGAGATTTTGCTCGCTTACTCTGTTGAGAACGTTAGAGGTATTTTTGAGCTGGTTGCTCAACTAAAAACAACCAGCTCGAAGCACAACCATGTTGAGATCCGTATAGGTTTTCTTTAGTTCTGATATCTACAGCAAATGCTTATGGGAAGTGAAACGGAGATGGGGAACGATCCAGTTTGGGACTTTCGCACGGCTTGGAAAACATCTCTAAACACGAGCATAATTGACCTTATGGTGAAACGTGTCGTTAACAGCTATATTGTAGTGTCACACATGAACAAATAGAAACAATCGAGGGAGAATCCGTGCAAGAGCGAAAAAAAGGAATGGCATGGGTGGGATGCGCAACCGCGTCGCAATGTCCGACGCAGTGTGCAAAGGGAGACGCGCCATCGCGTCCCGCTGTCGCCAATGTCTTGAAACCAACATGCGGCCACTCGTTCTGTTCAGTTTGATTCACGTATCCGTAGTTATTGCCTTTCAAACTATTACTAGCGGTTGCTGTTCTGAGAAGACATCTGCTCCACTTATGCGATACCTGACCTCGGTGGATTCTCAACCGACGATTGGAAACCGCAGGCGGTGTTAGTGTGCAATCTAAGTGAATGTTATCTGAGCGCTTCGGAACTTCACCGAGATGTTTAGTCTGTCTGGAATTGCTTCAGTGAGCAAACATGATCATACGTTGACAACCAGTAGGAAAACTGACTAGTCTAATATTTCCATGGGCGGCAGCGAAAAATGACTGAACTCTATAGAAAGGGCTTAATTCGACGCGAGTCAGCTTCATTTTAGCAATATGTACTTCATATAGGCACTATTCCATGAAGACCTTTGCTCTTCATAAACCTCAGCTAAGAAGATGCGTACGAGGTAGTCACCGAAGAGACTGCGCGCACGTAAGTGGTGACATTGTCCACCTACATAGATGTGTTCATTACAGTGTAATTTCACCATACACATACATAAAACGATGCATGGACAAGCAAGGTGGAGAGCAGCCGGAATCGACCTATCCTTCCTTGGAACAACTATGCATTCTACATCCATTGAAGCAAAGGATTACGATAAGATTTGGGTCTGGGTTCATAGTGGAAGTGGAGATGCTGAATAATGCCCCAGTGGCGAAAAAAGCAAAGAAATCCGTCAAGAAGGCGCAAAATGGGACCCTTCTTTGCTCCGTTGACCTCCGAAAATGAACGGGCCCGCAACCAACTAAGGGGACGTTGACCCGATAGTCACAATCCGGCCGACAAATACCATGCTTGCTTAATAACGCATTCCACAAAAAAAAGCTATAGGATGCGCATTCGAAGGGAGAAGCCTTTCCAAAATGATAACAAACTGATGGGCGAGGCACAGGTAGAAGCGGAGCTCGGAAAGGATTGTAGCTTGGTGCCTGCAACCAGCGCTCCTTGAGCCGCAAAAAACCACATTCCGTTTCCTTCAGTCCATGGCTTCTGCTTCCACTGGTGCATGTACCCCCATGCTACACATAGACTTGATCGTAATCCCTCGCCTTAACGCGACAAGTAATTTAACTACGATATTGCCTTCGCAACAACAAGAAGTCGAGCGCGCTCGATAAATCGATGTTTTTATTCCCTCCAAAGGAATTGGTGATCTGATGGACAGTTAAGAGAGATTCAAACCGGGGCTTATTCTCTGAACATTGCGCATAGTACCACTTCCAGAACTTCTCCTTCGAACACAGTCATGATAATCAACTCTTCTGCGACTAGCGAAGGTTCTCTTCAAAGCGCTTCCTAACATCGAAAGGGACCATGCTTATTTGGGTTTACCAGATTAGTCCCCCGTCAACCGCCGGGACCTTCCTTTCCTGCGCAAGCTTTCTATCCTCCGCTATGGTCCCTTCCTCCTGTGACACCAACACCTCCTGGAAGTGACGCGTATGCAACACAATGGTGTTTCATACAGTAGAAGGGACACAATCATGATATGACGGTAGATTTTTCGCTTCCCTTCCTCATCCTCCCTTCCTCTCTCCACTGCCCTCCAGCTGCCACTGCAGCACCATGTGGAATGAACGGAAGTGTGCTAAGCAGGTGTTTATATAGCCCTGAAGAGTGTTATCACAACTATCCTGCTACAAAACATTGATATCTCAAATCCTGTAAGCTACCCGATTTGTTAGCGGTTTGTTTATCCCATGAGCTTCCTTCTCACTCACTTCATTTTGCGGACGGACACACATACATACATACATACACACACACACACACACATACAGATATACAAACCGACACACAAAGTTAGCGCTTTATAAAATAGAAGGATTGATTCGTAAATCTGCATAGTAGCTCCGCTGCTTTATGTGTGGCAATAGCCGGAGGTTTGAGTTATTTTTCTCGTTTCATACTGTGCTGATCCCGCCTTTAGCCATATTTTGGAACCACGGGCGCTGCAGAGTCCTAGATAGGCAGGGAAAGCTGGCCCCCATATGAAAAAAGTGTGCTCTTCTATAATATTAGTACCCAAAAACTGATTTTGGCCATTGCTACTATTTGGTGATAGTATTATCTACGGAGGTTTCAATAGAAGCCTGTTATTGTTCAGGTGCAGATGAGAACACGAATATAGCAACCCTACCAATAGAAAATAGGGACTTCAATTTCCACCATTAGTTCTCCTTTTTCGTTTTCACACGTAATTCTCGCGCAGTGGTTAATTATTAGGATGGTGGATCTTATCCACAACGACCATTCTTAAGTTCAGCTTCACGGAATGCAATCGTCCCTTTTCTGATGCTTTCCCCTACTTCATGAATGAAAGGAGTTATACTAACAAACAGCTGTTTTATCGGATCAGGTTCTTCAAAAGCCCACTTCAATGGTGACACCGTTACTCTTGATCAGTCGGTGCCAATAAAACGCTTCGATAATAACGACCGACAAAGAATGGCGTCACTTCATTCCATCCGTCTAAGGGTATGTATTACATCAAGCTTCACCGCTTACGGTCCATAAGAACAATAGGAAAAACTAGCGGTTTAAATCGGCTTCCTTAGTAGCGAAACATTCAAAATAATTGTGCTCGCAGCGCTGTTAGTAGACTACTACAAGCCTCTCACGATTTCATAGTGTTCCCTCATATGCGCGTCCTCTCCAACGTCCCTTCGAAAATTCCTATACGGCCGGTTTCTGCTCGGATCTTTTTATAATGACGCGTTTCTAAGCATCACCGTTAGCCACATATCAGAACACAGCTGGTGTGATCACCAAAAAACAGCAAGGACCAGAACCCCAACAAAACATCCCACCCCTCTACAGTCACGCAATACCGCCGAAGTTGGCAGGGAGGATAGGCCACTCAGCTTAACTAATATCTTTGAGACACTTGATTGTGCCAAACGCGGTGACGTCATAAAATCGCCAAAACAAAACGTATTCAACGGTAATCTGCGCATTGCTAGCATAAAATGATATGAAACTGACCCAAGGTACAACTCGGAATCACTCGTTGTTACGAACGACCTCAGAAACATCTTCGCTGTTGTGCCTCAGGTATTTTTCGCCTTATTCTGCGCCATTATTGCTTCGCCAGACTACAGGGTGGGCCAAAATTATGAGGACAAAAACATTATGTCGTCAAAAACGCATAGTAGCTTGATGGAACAAACAACTTCAGGGAAGTGTTTGTAACTCCTCAAAGTAATTCCAGAATAGAATTGAGATCTGCCACCTGCCGCGTTTACACGAGCCTTCAGATGAAGGGGATGGCGCGTGCGGTGGCACGCAACTGAGGCGTGTCAAAATGTTTCCAGGCCTTCTGCTCTGCCTTCTTCAGGGAATCAAAGTTTTGGGTTTTTTGCGCTTGCATCCAGGGTGTGAAATACAGAAATCTAGAGCTATTAGGTGGATGGTTCCATTGTAACAATTCTTCGAAAGCAACGAACTCGAAAAATCGCTTTTGGAGAATTTTTGCTTTATTCTTGGGTGCTCGGTCCTGTAAAAGTCCCAAGTAGACTACTCGTGTGGCTTTCTATCCACTACAGATGTGGAGTCTTTAGAGTGTCTGGCTGGGTTTTCACATCAATTTTTTCATTTTGGGAGTACGAAAGTCGACAAGGGGAGACCTAGTTTCTGCATCTGATAATTGTCCTGGTGGTAACTGTAACTTTCGAGTCTCCGAATTTTCCATCTGTGGTGGTTCCAAACTTATTGAAGAGTTGAACTGTTGCCCATAAGAGCTTCCCTGATACGTTAGACTGCCGCTAGATGTAACGTGCCAGAGCCCCTAGTGAGTTCAATTTGAGGACTGACGTAAGTGATGTAGTTATTTCACTAGTTTTGAGAACTGCATGAAATTTGGTTTCATTAGGAAGAAGACATTGTACCCTTCACATAGTGCACAGAAAAGGAGATGAAAATGGAGCGACTCGGAAAAAAGTGGATATGACCGCGCGCGCACGCGGTCCTCATAATTTTGGCCCACCCTGTACAATACCTCTCCAGTACCTTTATCATAGCACTGAATCTGCTTATTTATATAACGTTACGATCGGGCTGCCTCAAAGGCTCATTTTTACATGAATTATGGGATTATCGAATTACTGTGCTCTCCGAACCTTTATTACAATAAATCCGAAAAATGCCCAAAAAAAAACTTGTAATTAGTAATTAATTAATGTTACTCAGCACCTTCCCATAATATCTTCATTTGTCTTAAGCATATACCTGAATAACCTCTATTACTTACCCTGCTCTGCCTCTACTCCATTATGGGACTCACCGCACCCGCTTGC